GTGATGTTACGCGAACTACAGGACGAGTCAGCAACTGGCATTGAAAGTGCATTCAATCGGTGCACGACGCATGGTATTCAGAGATGCCGAGTTTGAGGTGGTGGCCGACGTGGATAAGTAGGAAAATAAAGTATTTTCTATTTAAATTAATTCAGAAAATTTTAAAAATTCATATATTGGTGTAGAAAATTTCTAAAAATAAAATAAAAATACTCATATGCTTAGTGAATATAAGAGAAAAATATGAACCAAAAATAAAAAATGCTTTCCTTATATTTATTTTTAAATTAATTAAATACTCCAAATAGCAATTAAATCATAAATAATTAAATATTTAACTAAATTAGATGAAATTTTGAGGGCTTGTTCTTAATGAGCTTAGAAGTGTTTTCTGATTTTTTTCAAGGTCAGAGAACAATTCTATGACCAAAATCCCTAATTTTTAAGATATTTGGCATTATCTTAATAAAAAATCATAAAAAAAATAAAATAAATGTCAGAAAAATATAAAATCAAAATTGATAGATTTACTGTGATCAGAAGAATCTAGGAAAAATAAAAATAGATTTAAAGAAAATTTAATGTTTTATCTTATTTAAAATTAATGAAAATTAATAAAAAAATTAGAAAAATACAAAATAATTCAAATAATCACCAAAATGGGTCAAGTTGAAGGTAATCATCTTATGAGGCCTCTATAAAATTTTAAAAGCCATAAAAATTATTTTTGATGCAAAAATGCATTTTCTAAGTGAATAATAATTTTGACTTAAAATAATTATATAAATTTAAATAAAAATTAAAAAGTATGAAAATTAGTTTGGAGCGTTCTTTGAGATCAGAGACACTTAAGAAAATAAAATTAAAATGAAAAATACTTTCAAATGTCACAAATATCATCCTAACCATAGAGAATATCTCAAAAATATGTTTGAAAATTTTTAAAGGTAAAAAAAAAATATTTTTAATATTTAAATGTAAATTTCCATATTTGTGAAAAAAATAATTATAAAAAATTGAATAAAAATCACAAAAATATAAATTTTTTTAGTTGCCTGAAGTTAGAGAGACTTATGAAAAATTAAAAAAAAAATTGAAATAAAAAAAAATTCTATTTATTTACTCATTAAAGCAAACTAAAAATTTTAAAAATTAATGCCCTTATACTTGTTCTTGGTTCTCCGTAACTTGATCTTGAATAACAATGCTGTGAGAATACACTGAGACAAGGTATTTCACGACCATATTGTATGGGAGTAGATCCTCGTTTCTTACAAGATTACCCGACTCTGAGGGATGCTTCTGCTTCCGACGCATAGTAGCCAGCTTTTTCTTTGCCTCCCTAACTCAACTATATTTTAAAATGCTTGAATCACGTCACAATTCTTCTATTATCTCACCCGCCAACACAAGAGTAACCATCACCTTTGTAGTACATATCGGGATCGACAAATGACAAATGGTCAACATCTCCCTTGCGACCTCTATGCTCTTTGGAAGAGACTTCAGCTAGAACATTGAGCGTCCTATCAACTCGTTTCAAATACCTCAAGTACCAGATCAAGAACCAACCAAGAACTCCTTTTTCCATTCCTTTATTTTGTTCTCCACTCCTATCAAGTGGAGTTTTTTTTTTTCGCCGAAAACTCCTGTCAACCTTAAACGAGAAAAAAATACTTAAAGAGGTCGATATTGCACAAAAAATGCTCCCACTGACACAAAAGAATGAACATCATTATCGCAGCTATGGAGTTTGACATTACTCGCTAACCCCATACATGTTAAAGAAACTTTGGAACTCGTTGCACAGAGCAACCATAGGCTATATTTGAACTGGTCTTGGTAAAAGGCCAGATTCTTAACCAAAAGTTCTATCGCTTGCATCGAGCCCGACAACTTCCGAAGGGTGACGCTGTCTTGCGTAACATATTTCCTCTGCAACTCCTTCGCTTCTTTCTCCGTCATGAACGAGGGACCAGTGCCCTTAACGAAGCCGAAGATAGTAGGGGAGTACTTTGGGTCTATTTCAGAATATCGAAGACAACTAAATTAAAACAAAGAGAGAAAAGAAGAAAAAACCAAAAGCTCAAATGCAGAAATCAAAACGTGTAAAATAAGAAACAACGGTCTTGCGCCTTATTTATAGGACAGACACGAAAAAAGATGAGTCATACAATGTTATGTAACATATTAAACATTTTTTCAAATTTATTCAAATGTCTTTTCATCTCTAAATAACATTATTAAATATCTAGAATAACATGATCTATGAATGGGTCTTCCACGATCTCGGGTGGGATGCACCCTTTCTGAGTCAACCTTCAGAGGACTATTGCCCTTCCTATCCTAAGTTGTTCATTCTGATAGGCCTTGCGATGGAATTTGGACAGGTCAATTGACTCCAGAAGTGCTCCCAGTTCGCGCAACGCCTCGACTAGACCATCTCGCAAAGAAGCAACCTTCGTCTACAGGGCCGCCATGACTGAGCCTGTGAACACCAGAGTGACTGAAACCTCCTGCACATGATCGACGACCAAGCCTACAACCGATCCGGCCGATGAATCGACCCTTGCCACCAAGGACCCGCTATATGTTGCCCCACAACTCTAAGGGAAGGCGACTGACGCTTCATTTGCTCTGTCCAGTATCAGTAGCGGGAAAAGGAGCGGACGATTGATATCCTCCTGAAATGACTACCGACACGACTCCTGCAAGTTCGGTCTGTATACCAGTCATTGCAACAATGGACTCCACAATGTCTTTCGCTTGCCCACCATCTTGTTGACCCTCTGACTCGGTCAATGCACCTGCATATGAAAAATTTCAAGGAACTATTAAAGATCGACGGTGGCCAGAAGAATCTTTACGTACTTATAAATCTATTTATTGAGGAAATGGTCTTAAGACCTCTTCCCCCTTCTTCTGCTACAAGGTGCCTTCGCCTTCTTGCAACAATGATTGAGGAGAAATATCAATCTTCGTTCCCTCTTGCCTCTTTTCATCCTCCTCGACGCCTTCGATGACCAAGGCCTGTTGGCCCCTGGAGCTCACACCCATGCCCAACTTAGGAATTACGATCGCTTGACGAAGGACCTTCCACACCTGCCCTTCAGGGTCCCCATATGAGCTGACTTGATCCGCCGGCGTAGGTTCGGTACTCGACAACTTTTCATTCATAACCTTGAACTTCTTTACAGAAACCGAGGGCTCGTAGCCCACCTTCCCTATAATCTTGGGGTCTACATGGAGCTCACTCAGATCGTTAGTCATAACTCAAATTGACTGATTAAGGAAAAAATGACAACAACATATGCAATGTCAAACCTATGACTATTTATATAGCATACTGGGCACATAATCCGAGGGGAGTTGATTATTAATTGATTTTCTTGATTTTAGTACCATTGAATACGAATAGTTTCCATGTCTTTATCGTAGTTATCACTTTCAAGGAGCAGAAAAATTCGAGGATCCAGTATGTATACACAACAACTGTCAACACGAATCTCAAAGCATTTGAACGACCCATACAATGGCTAGACAACCAAGGCGTCCTACCGCCTTACTGTCAACCGCGTGATCAAGAATCAACCGACACACTATGATGAGAGATTCAAATAGCAGTCCACGCCGACGGTCTTGACCCAGGAATTCTTGATCACAACAAATCAATCGACCCGCCTTTGCCACTGTGGATGAGATCAACATTCGACCAAACGCCTTGGCCGATTAACACGTACTTCAGAAGACACTGTCGCCACTCAGCTGGTCGCCCCAGTAGGCTAAATTCAAGCAAGTCGGCAGTTAATTATCATCATGTTAAAATTCAAATTATAATACCCATATTGTATGAAATCCATAAGATTAATTAGTGCATCAATTATATTAATAGTAGTTATCATAACCGCTCTCTTCTTTCTGTAATTATACAAAATATACCTCCATAAATAAGAGACACAAATACGAATAAAGAGACATTTATTGATTCTCTCTACAAAAACTTTGATTTGTTATACTCTATTTATCTCTTACTCACTTCACTCAATCTTGAATCTCTCGGAGCGTGTTCATAAAGGACAAGACGAGAATTCTTGATCGCAGCAAATCGATCGACCCACCTTTGCCGCTGTGGATGAGATTGACATCCGACCAAATGCCTTAGCCGATTAACACGAACTTCAAAAGGCACTGTCACTACTCAGTCTGTCACCCCATTCGGTCGAATTCAAGCAAGTCGACAGCCAATTATCGTCATGATAAAATTCAAGTTATAATACCCATATAATATGAAATCCATACGATTAATTAGAGCATCAAAAGTATTAATAGTAGTTTTCATAACTACTCCCACATTTCTGTAATTATACAAAATATACCTCTATAAATAAGAACACAAATACAAATAAAGGGACATTTATTATTTTCTCTTAAAAAACTCATGATTTATTATACTCTCTCTCTCTCTTACTCACTTCACTCAATCCTAAGCTCTCGAGGCATGTTCATAAAATATAATTTAGGATTCAACATATACATTCTATATAACAATCGAGGTATATATAACATTCAAATCTTTCATATTGAATGAAAAGAAAAAAAATTTACATAACACTCAAAAACATTGATATTTACAAAACTAACCCTCGGTCTTTATTTTTAAAATTTTGAGTCGCAATAAAACCCTAACTCATGTTTTTTTATTTCTACCAAATTCACCAAAAGTTGCATGCAGATGTAAATGCATCTTTATTGGTTCATAGAAATCATCTTGGAACTACCTTCATAAATAACAATATTTCAAATACTATGTATGTAATTACTCTAAAAAATTTTCAAATAACTGAAAAACACCTTTTTCATCTATAAATAAAATTGTGCAAATCTAAAAATAAAAAAATTCAATTGTTATATACCTAAATACATAGGAATTACAGGCCATGTATGTAAATCTTTCATACATTAAACATTTTAAAAAATATAAAATCATTATTCACGGATAATCACAGCCGTCCGTTATCACTTATTGGCTTAATCAGAGACTACCAAATAAAAACACAACAAATACACAAAATAAATAATTCTGAATTAATGGTACCGAAAAGAATAAGTAAGCCAGCCAGCAACATGACCAACCATTTACCTGCCCTTCATTCCCACCAGCTGAGCAAAAAGCTCGTTCGCCACCGCCGTGCTCGAGTCTTCGCTCACCGCCGGCGAGGGGGGGGGGCGGCGGCGGCGTCCTCTTAACTGGGGATAAAAGATCATCTTTATCCCCATCCTGTTCCTCCTTTTCCTTCCCCTTCACCTTTTCTTCCTCATTCAACGGAATCGATTCAGCAGTCACGGCCGCAGCCGGAGGATTCGCTTCCTGCAGCTGCATAGCGTACTCCAAGTTCCAGAGCACGTCTCCCATGGACGGCCGGTCAACTCCGTGCTCCGCCAAGCATTTCTCCGCAGCTTCCACGTATTTATTCAGCGAATCACTGTTAATGGTGCCGAGAAGATGCGGATCAATGATCTTTTCAATCAAACCCTTCCTCTTCCACTGCATCCCCCACTCTGCGAGGTTCACCTGCTCCCTCGGCAGCGCAGGATCCAGTGCCGGCCGAGCACATAAGGTCTCGAACAAAACCACACCGAAGGAATAAACGTCGGACTTCTCCGTCAGCTGCTGCCGGCGAAAGTACTCCGGATCAAGGTACCCAAAGCTCCCCTTCACCGCCGTGCTCACATGGGTCTGGTTTCCCGGCGCATCTTTCGACAGCCCAAAATCCGACACCTTAGCGACGAAGTTCTCATCGAGGAGGATATTAGTTGTCTTAACGTCGCGGTGAATGATCCCCTGTGCGGTTCCGGTGTGGAGGTAGTGTAACCCTCGCGCTGCACCGATGCAGATATCGAGTCTCTGTTTCCACGTCAATGGCTTGAGATCTTTACCGTAGATGTGGTCGCGGAAGGGTCCGTTAGCCATGTATTCGTAAACAAGAATCATCTCTGAGTTTTCGTCGCAGTAGCCGATGAGTGAGACGAGGTGGCGGTGACGGAGCTTGGAGAGCATCTGGATCTCTGTATGAAACTCGTTGACACCCTGATCCGACTTGGAGTTACCACGCTTGACTGCAACCTTCGTTCCGTCATCAAGCTCTCCGATGTAGACATTACCGAATCCACCGACGCCGATGATGGCGTTGGAGTCCCAGTTCTTCGTAGCTTCTTGCAGATCGGCGAGAGAGAAGATGCGGCCGAGGCCGAGGGAGGAGGAGAAGGTGTGCCCGTTCTTGGAGCCGAATCCAGCACGTCCGCTTCCACCTTTGCTAGTCAGGAAGCTTGATTGACCTGCGTGAATAGGGAGCAGCCATGAGGAGAAGCTATTGCGCTTCCTCCAGTCCTGAGGTCGCTTATACCACTTCACCGCCATGGCACCAAGCCCTGCAAATGCGCCGAACATCATCGCGAACCCTACGGCCGCAACCGTTTTCCGATACGAGACACCGCTGCCGTCGATCTTGGAGCCGTCGACGCCGAACTCACCGTCGAGACTTCCGACTGAATTGCTCATCTGGAACACCTCAATGCCGTTGAGTAGGGCATCGGTGCGACCATTGTTTTCCCTCATGGGTCCAATCTGGATGGTGATGCGGTCGGAAGCGATAGAGGCGTTCAGGACAATGTCCTTGTAGTAAGCGGTGGCGAGCTGCCCGCCTGAGATGGTGGAGAGATCAAGACCAGAGATGGCGGTTAAGCCATTGATGTAAACATTGAAATAAAGGTCGTTCAGGGATTTGCTGATAATGTCGCAGAAATGGAGGCGAACGAGGTAGCTGAAGGAGGAATCGACGTTAAGCTGCCATGTAACGTTGAAATTAGGGCTTTCTACGCCCGCGTCAGCCATGTGCACGGCGGAGGCGTAGACGATCGGCGGCGCGATGAGCGGTGATCCGCCGTCAGGATACTCTACAACATTGGGCTCGACGGAGATAGACTTTGCGGTGGATTTGGAGAAAAGATAAGCGTGATCGGGGGACCATAAGCGGCCGAGAGAGTCATTAGCAGAGGTGAGGGTGGTGCCGCCGACGTTGAGACGGTAGGCTGTGTGGTAAGCGTAGTCGGAGAGATCTCCGGAGAGCTCGCCAACAGGAAAGAGAGAGGAGGCGGAGTCTGCGACGAGGAGGTCGGGTGCAGAGACGACTTCAATGGCGTTGATAAACGCTGCGGACCTGCGCATCGGGGCGAAACGGAGGGAGAGGCGATCTTTAGTAGCGTTGATGAGGAACTCCTTAAGGATCCATTTCGATGGTTCATCGATGGAGAAGCTGTGGAGGAGAACGTAATCGTTGGTGGTGACGGAGAAGACGGCACGGGTAAGGTCAAAATCGGGGGAGGAAATGGGGAGGAAGTGGAGGCGGATCCAGTGCCAACCAGGGCGTGAGAGCTGGAAAACGTATGTCGCGGCGTCGCGGAAGATGCGAGCGGAGAGGTAGAGAGGAGAAGGGATGCCGGAGGATGAGGGGATGGAGGCGAGGATTTGGTCGGTGGAGGAGAGGAATGGGGAGGATTGAGCGTCCGTTTTGAAGCTGCGACCGTCGGGCATTGCGACGGGGGCGGAGGCGCCGCAGTTGATGAGGAAGTTGTCGGCCGGAACGAAGCGAGAGGTAGATGACGGGGGGTTCTGAGCAGACGCCGTCGAGGCAGCAATGGAGAGAAGCAAAGCTGCGAGGAACGTGAGCCGGAGCTCCGCCATTGTTCTGCTTCGTATAGGCATTTTGTCAACACTTTTGTATCTTTGTTAGGATCTGATGAATCCTCATTCGCTAGGGCTGGAGGAGCTCGAATGAGGGAGAGGAAGAGGGGGGAGGAGGGAAGAGTTAAAAATGGGGTTCGGAAAATTCGGGAGGGGGACGGTGGATGTCTAATGGGTTTGTTTGTCATCTTCTTTCCTTTTTGGTTGCTGGCAAAAATGTGCAGAGCATTAACGATAAGTGGGATGAGGTCAACACGGAAACATGTTGCTCCTTTTATTTTTGAAAATTATATTATTTGGGGCTCTCAAATTTTATATATTAGTAAGAATTTGAAATTAGGATTGGACGACAAATCGAAACAAATTAGAAGAAGAATGTTCGAGATTCATTTGTTCAATTGGAGTTGAGCAGGAGCAACACTCATACGCCGCAATGTGGAGCCCTTACGTCGCGATGCGATGCGATGCCTTTAAGTAGCGATGCGGTGCAGCGCCTTTATGCTGTTGAAGATCGCATAGAATTGGACGTGCGAGGCTGATTTGTGGTTCGATAGGTTCGTCGGTCTACCGGTCGTATTGCCAGTTCGATCGGTTATGGGCGGTTCACAGCTATAAAGGGTTTTTTTGGATAATTCAGATCAGATTGACCACCGATTCATGATTGAATTAGTCTGTCATGTCAAATTGTCTAAACCCTGCATATTACATAAAAATTATTATGGCCTATAACTTATAAAAATTAAAATAGACCTCTTCAAGCCTGAGATTATTTCATACGGACATCTCGACCGTCGATCACAGCTTTTTTGTTTTTTTTAAATGGGGTCCACTAAAATACAGTTTTGCTGTGATCGACGATCGAGATCGGACAACACATGCATCTCTGCGTGCGTTGTTCGTATGGAATAATTTTTCCTTCAAGCATAAAGAAGATACATGTGAAATTAAAATTATGAGTTAAACATGTAAATAGTAGGAATTGAGTGGATTGTGTGTAAATGTTCCGTATAATTATACGAGTTCAGTTTCTATATATATAAATATATATTCTTTATTAAATACTGATTTTCTTGTGGGTATAATTAATTTAATTGATAATTAGTTTATATTTTATTTATTAATTTATTTGTTATAATGTTTGATTATTTTTCTGATGATCTCAACTATTTGTTTTTGGTTATAGTATTTTTGGAGCCTATACAACAAAGGCATAAATGTTTAGTCATATGTATCATTTTTAAAGTAGGAACAATAATGTATAATAATCATTTGTAAATAGCTAAACTATCATTATATGAGTCACACATAAAACTGAGAAAATTGGAGTTAATAGCCCTCCTAATGCACTCATAAAATTATATTTTACATAAAAGTGAGTTACAAATTTATTTTAGATAAAATTAGCTCATATGTGGGATAATTTTTTTACATTTATGCTTTAATCATTGAGCTAATAAGGTATTTGGGATTGATTCAAATGGCTCAAATTCAACTTAAATTGAAATGTTTTGAATCAAAGTTTTGTCAAAACCTACTTATGGTTAAGCAGTGCATAGAAATGTGTGGCAACTCAATGAGACACAATTCACACCAACACTTGTTCTAACTTGAAGTAATCAGGACTATGTGAGTGGTGGTGAATTAGTCTTACTACATCGTGACAGCATAAGTAATATCATTTAATTCAATATTAATCCACATCATCAATACAATGAAGCGTATATATATAAAGTTACTAAACATCAAGCATATAAATATGCATACCTAAAAGAATTCACAAATTTCCCAAAAATTTGCAACCCAAAAGTTGTACAATATTACACATGATTGATTGCCTAGTTGCACTTTCCCCCTCTTTGAAAAGTAACAATAATTGAAGTATGCTACAAGCTTAGTGAAATAGCCAGTGCTAAAGCTAGATTCAATATATGAAAAAGAAGCAATATATATGTTGGTCAATAACTAATATGAGTGACATGTGTAAAGTTCAAACATGATTTACTTGGTATATTATAGGAAATTTGTATAAAATGTAAAAGCAGTAAATAGTAACATATTATAACTAACAAATGTCTCATTCAACCCTTTTGCGTAATCGTCTGTTTATCCTTTTATTCTTATTATTATTATTTATTTTTATATTAGAAATGTCACTTGTATTTGCATATAATATAATAATCATCAATGACCACCCC